TTATTATTATTATTATTATTATTATTATTATTATTATTATAATGATCATGATGAGAATGAGAATGAAAACAATCTGTGACGTTATTAATAAAAGCAGGATAAAAGTAAAAGCATTCGTATTCCATGCAAAGATCGCGAGATTAACCCAACGTCACCAAATATTGTGAATTGCAAATGCATGTGAATTATACCATTTAAATAATTGTGGACGTCATTTAGTGGGAGAACTCGGAAATAATTCGATGGATTCTTACGAGTCGCTTAATCACGTATCAGTGACTAAACTAGGGGTACCTTCCGGCAAGTGCCAACGAGGCGAATTCGTTTATCTTTTGTGAAATGTGCCTATCAGATCTTCGCGATATATATATATATATATTTTTTTTTTTTTTCATAATTTTAGAGGTTTAAAATAGATTCCGCTATAGAAAAGGATGGCACCCAACTTCAAAACAACAACTTTGGCACATTGCAGGCTTTCACTTTTTAATAGGCTATTTGCATGATGGCGTCATTTTACTACTGTGACCAGGATCCTTCAGAGTTTTGCTTTCTTGTGCAAATTAGGGCTTTTNGAGGCGAATTCGTTTATCTTTTGTGAAATGTGCCTATCAGATCTTCGCGATATATATATATATATATTTTTTTTTTTTTTCATAATTTTAGAGGTTTAAAATAGATTCCGCTATAGAAAAGGATGGCACCCAACTTCAAAACAACAACTTTGGCACATTGCAGGCTTTCACTTTTTAATAGGCTATTTGCATGATGGCGTCATTTTACTACTGTGACCAGGATCCTTCAGAGTTTTGCTTTCTTGTGCAAATTAGGGCTTTTGTTATTTAAACCTCACTGGGGCTGCCAAATTTAAATATGAACAGAAAAATGAAAATAATTCTGGTCGTAGTAGTAAAATGACGCCATCGTGCAAATGGCCTATTATCAAACAATAACAACATGGCTAATGAGACTTTGTTGGTAAATATGAGCAAGTTAGTACTTATGTTTCACGGAAAATTCAATTGTATCAAAACTATAAACGTTAGAAAGAAAAAGATACTTCAAATGAGGCCTTTGACCGCTGAAAATATAAACAATAATTAAATTCCGATCAACAGCGTCATCAGGGATAAGAAATTAAAATGTTTCGCGTAGTAATATACGTAAGAAAAAATTGGTGTAAAGTAAAATGTGTGAAAAGTGCAAGAATGGGGCGGAATGTATCAGAGGTATCAAAATATAAACTTGAATAAAATACAAAGATCTAATGAGCGAATGTCATAGGACAGAGAGTCTCTTGAAAGGCATAATGATAGTCTTCAAAACAAAAGGTCCGCAAATTCGTTGCATTCCTCACGGGAGTTTTTGGCTGTCTCAATGTAAATCGAGCAGCAAAAAACATGCTGGTTGACAAAATCTCTCGAATAAATTCTAAAATAAAAGGTCCGCAAATACGTTGCATTCCTCACGGGAGGTGAGGACTGGCTCAATGTAAATCGACCTGCGAAGAACACGCTGGTTCTGATAAAAGTTTTGACAATATAACCCTATGCCTTGATCAACTACCGCTTAAAATTCAATTCACAAAGGAAAAGAGAACAGTGAAAACCCTGATTCTGAGTCGAGAAGCGAACACGCTACCTCACTGTAAATCGAGCTGCAAAGAACAACCTGGTTCTGACAAAATTTGAGCATAAAACCCTATTTTTTAAAGCTGCTGCTTTAAACGCAATTTATAAAGCAAAGCAGAACACTAAATTGCCCTTTCAAACTAGAAATCGTATTAAGGCTTGCTCACCTGTTAGGTCCTCTTGAACAGACAACAAACAGCTGCACACTGAATCACCCAATTTCGGACCACGAGTTGTAAATACAAGACCATGACGTCACTACCCAAATATGGGGTCTTACTTACACCCAAATATGATCAAAAATGCAAATGTTAGAGGGTTACGCAGAATTTGAGAGTTTTTGCCTACATTGCGCGGCGTTATAACTCTGCCGCCGAGTCAACCTCGCTTCTTAGCTCGGTTGCCTCGTTGGCAATCATTTAGCTTAAGGTCTTTTGTGATGGAAACAATTCACCCCTAGGCAGAGTAGTGGGGGCTTGTGTTTCTCAGTTGCTTTCCCTGAAACAAACGATTATCAGTGGCAATGATCAATGTTCTTGTTAAAGACAAGATAAACAGTCTAGACAAATCATTACTAGCCTAGAGTACGTGTAGCCCCCCCCCCCCCACCCCGCCCGCATTGTCAAAGGAAAAACAAAGGGAGGGAGTTACCTGTGAAAGCCGAGTCCTGTTTCCATAGAAAAAACTGTAAATGAACGAATCCACGTGGAGCAACGTACAAAGCTGTGAGCTTCGGCCGTTACCTTTGCGCCATTTTTATTCAGCGTCAGGTGAGAACGGGGTGTCAAATGAGGGAGAAATCACGTGTTCTTAGAAGACATCAAACATGACCGATTGCGAAATCTGGATTTTGATTTAGAAATCCGGATTTCGGATTTGCAACAAAACGCAAAATCAAAACACGAATTTGAACGCTAAGAAATATGTCCTTGGATTTTCTTTATTTCGGTTTTATAGGGAAATCTGCTGAAAATGGATTTGAAAAAAACTGTTCTCAAGAACAGCGATCTCCCACGCGTAAGGATAATGCGCGAAGAAACGACCACTGTTGACGAGAATAGTTTTGCAAATCTTTATAAAATGGTAGAAAAGGAAATCCATGAAATCAGGATTTGGATTTCTTTAAAATTCATCTTGACGAAGGAGTTGTCAAAGTTGAAATCCTGTAGAAATTTGTTTTTTAAAACCCGTATTTTAAAAACCAAATCAAGATTTCCCGATCGAAAGCACCCTTTAAATAAAAATTAAATTTTTGTGCAATCAAGTTTAATTAATCACAATTAAGTAGAAGGGGAAAAGAGCCTCGAGATACGTTTTGTTTTGATTAATTCATCAAGCCTTGGTAAATTAAATGAGTATTCTCCTCGAATACTGAGGTTCGGGCGCTTAGCGCGCGGGGTTTTCTCACTCTTTCGGGCATAAGTGTCATTTTCTCTTCGGAAAGCTGCAAGTACCTCAAAGTGCCCAACAAATACCCCGGGAAAGATGGGCACGCTAGAAAAGTTTCAGTGGAGCTGGGACTATAGGCCTGAGTAGCCTTGGCTGTGAAGCACGCGGTTTTTTGGTGCGTTTTTCGTTCGTGTTTCGTATTCCTTTCTTTACAAAGCACAAACGAAATCCTCACAAACGTACGCAGGCTAAGGCCCGGGGTTAGGGGCGCGTGCAAAATCCCTTCTACCATATATAATATTGTTTTTGAAAATTAATATTTCGAAGTTACGTTTACTTACGACTTAGGATTTTTTTTCCACAAGAAGTGTTAATGGTTAGCTCTCTCTTTTCATAACTTTTGCCAAAACGGGGACTAATTCACTTATTTTATTACACGGCTGATTCCGCAAGCGAGCAAGGTGAAACGAGTCCTTTGGTCTCAAGCTGGACCCACGCTCTTGCTCGCCCAGGATGGCCCACGACATTTACATTGTTTTACAAGGTTTACAAAGGAGAAAAATCACTTTAATGTTGTTTAACAGGCAATTTGAATGTAAAAGAATAATAAAACATCTATTTTAAAACAAAACAGTTAAATTCGTCCAATTTTCTTGACCCAGAAAAAAACAAATAGAAAGCAAGAAAAAAGGACACTTGTTTAATATTACATGACGCCGTTACACCGCTGACCGCACTGCTTGTCTCTGAAATCAAAATGGCTGCCCAGATACTGATACCGTGATCGAAGGTTTCAGACGTCTTGCAAGGCTTTCTTTAGTGGTAAATCACTTTAAATAACATTAAGATTGGGAAAATGTTTTATTTAAGTTAGAATTTATTATTTGCTTTACTTGACTTAAGCATTTTTTTACGAATAACGCGATTTTCCTCAAATTGTGTGATCGGGTGCGATTTGAGGATCGCACCATCGCGTGATATCAGATGGCCTGTTAAAAGTTAAACTTCTGATTATTTACTTTTAAGGCTAAAGAAGATGAAATCTCCCTGGATGATATCAAAAAAGTTGGCGACGGTAGGTAAATAACAAGATTATCCTGGTAGAGGGGGACATGGGGGTTTACGGTATTGCGGTATTGGGCTTTTTTCCATGCGGTATTTCGGTAATTTTAATTTTAACGTGCGGTATTGCGGTATCATCTAGCTCTGCGGTATGCGGTTTTTCATCATTTTGGCTGACGGTATTCGGTGAAATAAGATTGTTCACGGTATTACGGTACCGTTTATTTGCGCTTTCTTTTCGATACAATACGCAAAACAAAACACAGTACGACATAAAGGTCAATAAAAGTTAATATTTAGAAGTCTTGAGACATAACGGTAAATGATTAAACCATTGTGGGTCATTTTGTGACAGTTAATGGTCGATAATATACAATGTGATTGTTGTTGCATCCAATGACAATGAGTCACCTCAAGTTAGCTTACCAGGCTTTTCGATCTGTGTACGTGTGCCAGTCTGCTACTCAGCCGTTTTTAGTGTCGTCACACAACCCTCCTCCCCACTGGGGAGACAGTCGAGATAGTTGACCCCTGAGATACTGNAGCTGTTGGGTCGACCTACCAAAAGGTTCTTTTCAGTGAAAATTTGCCAAATTTTGCCAACTACCAAAATATTAAAAAAACATGGACATCTGGTGCATAAAATGCCTGAGATAATTAAACGCGCTAGATGGAAGCACCCATAAGTATGCGGAACCGATTATGAATGTGATTAAAATATGCGGTATCGGTATTTAGACGATTTTCGACGCGGTATTTCGGTATTTGCCATTTTTTCTTACGGTATTGCGGTATTGGGTACCCCCCAATGTCCCCCTCCTGGTATTATAAATGTTAGGTTACATATTATTAATGTAGATTAATATTGCAGAACTTACCTTATCTCTAATTTGTAGTGTTAAGGAACTTAAATGATAGATGGAGTGGTCCATTTCCTATCAGAGTAGAAAACAAGGTTTGCTTCAAATACGATATTGTTTTCTTTATCTTGTATTATTTTAAAAAATGGAATATGCATTAATTTTGTGTTTTTTAGTGTGACACTAGCCTCCCTGCAGACGTCCTTTGGGGTTTGTTCGTCACACATTCATTTCTCCCCCACGATGTCTGCTAAACACAGCCAACATTTACGTTCTTGTTTGTTTGAATAAGCCAATAAACGGTTAGTTATTGTGTCACGATCAGCCAATAACGAGCTGCGATACAACTGAAACGGCACCTACGAATTATTTCTCACTTTTTCAGAGGAATATTTATTCCATGCCTATGCATGGATGAGACTCCGAAGAAAGTTGTAAGAAGTGATTTTTTTTGTTTTCTTTGCAGCTGTAATTTAGGAAAGGACCAAGTCTGTGTGTTTAGAAAAAGCGCGGTCAACATCGCAAGCCTCATCAAACGTGCTCTGTACGTTGATATGTCTTTGTATTCTTCAAGTGAATTATTTATTTGCACAGCTATCTTCTACCTGAGACAACTCAAATGTTTTGAAAAAATCACAGAAATGATGCAATAAAGCTGTAGTCAGCTGTACAGTTTTGCCGGAAGTTGTTGTAAGTATAAAATAATCTGCTTTTCTCTGAAAGACTACAGAAAACAGTGTCTCACAGGAGCGTGGAGCGGTTTTCAGCGCGGTTGAAAACAGTTCTTATTAACTCTGTATATATTCGAAGTATTAAGAAAAGAGAACTTGGAAGTGTGTATAGGGAAGATTTTCAAAGCATTCTTTGAAAACAAAGGGTGTTTCCTTTTTTTGTGAAATGTAATTCCACCAAGGTCGTGGCTCACAAACCAAGCACCAATACGTGAAATTTGGTTGTATTTTTTCAAGAGTCGGTAAAACAAAATATTCGAAGTCTACAGCAATGTGCTTCCAGCGGCAGAAAATGGTTATCTGAAAACTTGTTCTGCAAAAAGGCACGTCTTCCCGTTGCATTTCATTTATTCACAAGCCAAGTAAACATGACCCCGGTGCCACCGAAGTCCAAACTTCAAGCTAGAACGACAAATTAACCTACCTGTCAACAAACTTTAATTTGGCTCCTTCAATGAAAGAAAGAATGCTTATAATCAATAAATCATTGGACCTTTCATTTTTCACCATATTTTATTTCTCAACGAAATATTTAATCATGCTGCAGCTTGGAAAAGTCGCGGACCAAGGCCAACATACTAACTGTGCAAGTCACTTGCTAACATTTCCTGCACTGATCAATCTTCAACTAAGCTTCTGGGCTTCCGCAAACAACAAAGAAAGCCCCTCTCTCGTAAACCCTCATATTCTCTTCGCTAATATCACTGAGCGTTACAGCAGGAATACCAATATTTGCCACCTTTGTAGCTTGATCTTTCCTAAGATTTACCAGGGGCGAAACAAAAACAACAATATGTCCAGTAGTTCTACGCACTGTGTCGCAAAAAAGCGGCAAAGCTTGATACATAAGGGATTTGCCAAATCGCGTCGGCAAATTTATGAACTCATCGGTCTTCTCTATAAAATTTGCAGGATAGTTTCTCTCTGATACTTGTTTAACTCTGTATTTATTACAAATTTCTCGCACACCCGATCAAAAGCCTCACTGATCGTGTGAATCTGAACAAGCTGCTCATGTTACATTTTACAAAAATCTTTAAACAGCCGTAAATGTCACCTGTGTTTAGCAGACATCCGTGAGGAAGAAATGAATGCGTGACGAACAAACCCCAAAGGACGTCTGCAGGGAGGCTAGTGTGACGCTGGTATTCATTTCCTTCATCCTATTTTGATTTATCTCACCTACACTATACATGTTCAATGTGGCTCAGTGCAAGCCGCACTGATAATTCACTTCATTATATAAATACCAATGAAATACCAGGTGAGCTTTCGCATGAGGACTTGATATCTTCACACATCAAAATAACATGTTATCTTCACAATGAAAAGAGCACTGTTGCTATGGCTACATAATAAATTGCACCTTGCGCAGCAAGAAAAAATAATGAAAGTAAAATGGTTTGGTATTTGATTGGTGTTTCTATAATCAATAGAACATTACATGACCACTTGGAGATACAAAATTTTTCTTCTTGTGTTAAAAAATATTTTACTTGTTTGCTGCTCTCAACCGTGAAATAGTTTTTAACACTCAAAGAAAAACTTTGTATCTCCACGCGGCCATGTAACATCCTCTATACCTTGTATGAGTTTTGGAAAACTTATACATAAATTTACAAAATTAAAATAACAATAAAAATTATGAACTCCAGCTTGAATTTCTTCAAGCATTTTTTACCATTTTTAGAGGTATATCTCACACTCAAGACAGTGTTTCATCCGATATCCCTGACAACTGAAACTCTTTTGGCTGTGCATCTTTTTTTCTCCTGGTGTCTGGGTACCAAATTTAACACTTTGCATCATCTTTATTACTAACTTGTGATTATTAAATTCATTGAACATTAGCCTGAGTATCAGGCGTTTCTGGAGGAAATAGGGACGAGAAGAGAGTGAAGGGGAGACAGCGACTTCCTCTCTGTCTTCCCTCCTGCACCCCCTCCCCCACCCTCTAAGTTCTCCTTTCCACTAACCCCTAAGGAAGGCTTTATACTCGCGTTAATCGAACACTAATTCTCTACTGGAATATTTACCGTGTCAGGTAAATCATACCAGATGTAATATATTATCTCCATTTTTATTTGTATTAACAGTGGACCTGGTATAGCAGGATATCGAGAGGAAAATGGAAGTGAATTTGTCGCCTCGGCAGGTCAGTACATGAGTCCGTAGTAAAAAGAAGTAAGCTTACTTTATAATTACACAGAAACTATTTGTGGTTGTATCTATCCACGAATGGATGAACAGAAAATATGGCTACCTTTTTTTTTTCAAGTTTAGCCATTGTACCCCGAGAGAAAAACTGGGTTTTAGTTGGTTTCCAAAATTGGCCAGAATGCGTTGACTTTAAGTTACTCTTGGCTTTACAAAGCAGTTCGTCTAAGACTAAGTCTTCCAAAGAAGAGGGGACGTCGATAACGCATGGGTCGTCCACGCACGCATGTATAATCAAGAAGAGGTAATTTTGGCACTTGCTTGACATACAAAACCATTCTCCCAGTGAGAAATATTATCGAGAGTAACGAGGGACTTCTTGACATACCGGTATATTTATTTGTTTATGTACTATTACATTTTTTATCTTGCCATCCAATAGTTATATTTCCTTTCACTGATTAAACTTTTGCAACAAGAAACTGAATTGCTGTCGTTGCTTTGCAGCCGAGGGAGGGTCGTTGTTGCCAAGGATACCATATGAAGAGGGATTTCGTCGTTTTGTTGTGCGAATAGACCGGATCGGTCTAAAAGATGCGCATGTTTACCTAAATCCTTTCATCACTGTCTCTGTTAAAGGTACTGATAAAACATTTCGCGCTTTAGTTAACTGACATTTACAATCATACATAGAAAGCGCGAACATTACGATATTGTGAAGTGTGCGTTATACTGCGTTTTTCGTTATCGAACGTGTGAAACGAGCATGACTTGCTTGCAAGATTGAACTCAGTTCCTCTACTAGAAAAGGGGCGGGCTTGCATTCTGTAGAGCGTGAAATTGTGTCAGTCAGGAAAACGTTTTCTTCTTTGTCACCGGCCAGAATGTTATCTTCTGAGCATGGAGTGAACCTAAAGAACCTAAAGCATTAATTCCGTTCACCTGTGAACGGAAAGCTCCCGTGAAGGAGGCAAACTGAAATAACCAGATCATTTCATTTCTCCACCAACTATTTTTTTTCCTGAACTATCCCGTCCCTGAAAAGAGGCGCTTAATTGAAATGTTCACCTTCACTAGACCGTGTTAGAGAGAGACTGAGGCTGAGACTGAGACTACGTGAGCAGTCTTTCTTTTTAGTGGAGGTTCACCGTGAGACACCAGAAACGAGGGAGTCTCGTCTCGTCTCAGAAATAAGAGAGACTGCCTGACTTGTTACATGGTTTTTTCATTCCTGCAGACGCTAACAGTGTTAATGTGACCCCGCCCCAAGATACACCCATGTCAAACAGAAAAGATGGAAAATATATCAACTTTGGTTTTGATGTGGAGATTCAAAAACCAATAGAAAAGCTTCCAAGAGGTAAAAATGATAATAAGCTGCGACGGAACTATTTAAGGTTAACCTGCGTAGCAGACGCCGGTTTTGTAAGGGCGAACAGAGAAATTTCGTGGACGCTCGCGCGCACTAGGGAGAACGTAAAACTTAACCACAATACTTAACCAGCGCCTTCTACGCAGGCTAATTCCAGGCTAACGAACGTGTCTTTCTTTCGAGACCTTGAAAAGGTAAGAAAATTTTTTTCCTCATAATTAATTTTTTTTTGTTTTATCCTGTCTTTCGTTCGAAGGTACAGCGATATTTTTCGAATTCAAGCACTACAAACCCAAAAAAGACATCGTGAGTACGAGATGTTTCGCATTCATGGAACAAGATGAGTTCAAGCCGGGTCCCGCCTGCATAGAACTGTAAGTAGTCAGGCTTTGTTTATAAACGGCGAAGTTTTTAATTTTTTTGTAGGTCTACTGGTTCCGTGTACTACGACTACCCCCTCATTAGGGCTCACGAAATACGCGAGCGCGCGTGAGATTCGCTGCCCGCGATGACAGGCTACACGCGGTGGAAGGAGAGAAATGAGAGACCTTCATTTTCTCTTCTTCCTCTGTCTCGCCAACGAGTGTCTCTCTTTCCTGTTTTTGCTGTGTCTCCTGTGTCTCGCGGCGATTTTCCCCCGCGCTCGCGTACTTTCTGCATCCTATTATCCCTGAGAAAGTCTGTTCCAGAAGTTTAGATTGTGGACAGTGGCGCATAATCCCCCACTCGCCGCCCCAACTCTGCTAACTTCTCTTTGTGCACTGCACCCTATCTCAATCCCTGGAAAAGGCTTTCTCCGAAGGTAGTCAAGGACCGCTCGTATTTTACTGAATCTGCTAGCTTTCAATTAACAAAGCTAACCGAATTAACCTGTTCTTTTAGGTATCAGAAGCCAACAGACTTTCACCGCAAGAGGTTAAATCTGTTGACGCAAAAACCGCTTTATCTTCATGTCACACTCAACATTCTTGATGATTAGCTCTAAAAACCGTTGCACAGAAAGCGATTAAACATGCCACAGCACTCCAAGGAATAATTTAGGATATTATTGATACTTCTGGATAGAAAGAACCAAGTAATTCAGCTCTGAAAATGGCTTTTAGACATTATTCTTAGACTTAACATGTAACAGAGTATTACAGTTACACGAAACTGAAAACTATATCTTAGAGATTATTTTACTTTGTAAATAAATGGCAAAAACGTGAACAAAAGCAGAGATTTTAAAGAAATTATAGCAGTAGTTTATATTGGGGAAGGGTTAGTAGTTATACGAAGTACTAGATATTTTTAAAAGAACTTTTTCGGTAGTGGTACCTATAGCTAAGAGTTCATCAAACAATTTTCTTGACTGTTGCTCAAGAGATTGCATTTATTATACAGTGGAATCCCCACATTTCCAACCTTCCAAGTAACACAGCGTTGGATTAGCTCGGAAAACAAAGGGTAAAAGAGCAGTGTTTATCTAGGAACGGCAAACAAGTCCATGGAATTTCTACTCAGCTGCCTATAAATTATAAATTGCGGGTGGGATAAACTCGTAGGTGACTTAAATAGTGAGCTATTGCTTCTTTAAAACGTATAATACGTCTGAGTAGCCTACTTGTTTATTATGCTAAATCTGTAAATAAATAAATGAACAAATAAATACATACATACATAACATGGAAGGGCGTAAAATGACGTTTCTAAACGTCAGAATTCCACTGTATTTCTCGCAGTTTAAAAAGAGGGGTGTCACGCTGATATTAAAACTCTGCTGATCAATTTCACCACAGATTGATATGATTCGATAGTTAATTATAAAAAAATATAACAGCTTGACATAGAATTTTTGCAAGTAGGTTTATTTTAACACAGGTACATATGCAGTTAGAGAAATGAGCCTGTTAACTGTACAACTGTGGAAATTACATGGGTTTTATTGGGTAAATTTATTTGCCTTTAAATTATCTTTATAGATCGTTTTTGGTCACGTGGTCAGCAGCTTTGCAAATTGTTTGGAATAAAAGAAAGTTTTAACATGTGAAAACACTTCAATTCCCACAGAATTTTTTTTGTACTCAAACATGGCCGCCGATTCATTGTTTTGTACACAAATGTGGCCGCTGTGATGCCATGTGAAAACGATGTACTTAAAGCCGAATAAAGTCTCAGGCATACGCTCAAAGTAGTAGAGTAACTTTAAATGCAACTAAGCCGTTATCTCTCTGTTTTTCTTTGATTCCAGTGTCTTTTTTTGTAGAGTTTTATAGTAAAACTGAAAATTCGTCACTTAGCTTATTTACGGCAGAGGGATATTTAAATGTTTCGCTAGCCTGTAAACGAGCTATCCATCACTGGGCGAGTGAAACGAGCCGCGGAAGCGAGCGGCGAAGTTCGCTCACGCGTCTCCTCTTTTGAGCCGCTCGCGCATGTACTTTTCACGATAGACTCTCTCTGCCTCGTACCCAGACGTCTCTCTTGCGCGCGCAAAGGAAGGCGGGAAGGAGAGGACGGGCGTCTCCCTTGCGGCTCATAACCAGTCGCTCGCCTCTACCTTGCAAAAAACGAAGCGCCTGAGGAGGAGGCTGCAGCTAATGCATGAAAAGATAAAAAAAATATGGCTTCTTCGTTTTCCCGCCAAAGAAACCCTAATATGGAGAAGGCATAGTTTGATTGGCCAATCGTGTTGCAGTATGACGTCAAAGCGAAGTATCGGTTAATTTCTAGAAAGTTCTCGGGAATGACGTTTTTTCACCCGAGTGTTTGCTTAACCAACCAAATCACTGTTTCCGCTCGTTTGTTGTTTCTGTTTTGTTCGCGCGTTTTCATTTCAAGGTCATACGAAAATAGCTTTAATAAGTTACATTGTTTTCCTTTCATCTGTGTATGTTTAATTCGTCTTTTCTCCCAATGGATTCCACGAACTCGAATGTTCCTTTTGGTTTCGATGTCTTACTCCATGAAGACAAAAACAGTGCGAATTAAGAGCCTTTTTTTCCAGGTAAGAAAGTTTTTAACTCATATCCCAGTTACCTGTAAGTCATTGCGCATTTAAAAAATTCATTAAAGATAAATTTTCATTCTCGTTCGACATACTCACTGTTGTCAGTTTGAATTTTTTTTTCAAGTGTAAGTTTTCTTTAGTCACAACTGTACTGTCAAAAAGGGAAATTAGTATTAAAAATCATATCGGTATTACTGTGTGGCAAATCGGCTATGTTTTATCAATCGCGGGACTGAAATAAAAGTAACAAACTGAAGATGACATATAAACGTGGCACTGTTTTAACGCTTAAAAGCTTTATACTTTTTCTTTTGAAATAAATGCTCCCAACATTATAAGCTCTGCTCCTAAAATTTTCAACTGTGCACCTAAAATTTCCTCAGTGCGCCCAAAAATTTACATCTAGTAGCACAAGTGCTCCCAAACTCAAATTTAAACTTTAAGCCCTGTTGCAGAATCCGGAATCCCAGAAAATTTTGCTTATGGAATCCGAAATCCAGAGTTTTGGAATCGGAAACACAGCTAAAGGAATCCGGAATCCAAATAACAATCCAAGTTCACGTGACAAAGACTGGAATCCAGTACCTGGAATACGGAATCCACAGCGTGGAATCCAGAATCCAAGACTATGCTGGATTATTCCCTTACATGGGGTGAAGGTTGGGTATCTATATAGTATATATATATATATCTATATTACATGAATCTTTGAGCCCCGGGCTTTGAGCTTTTCTAACTATTTCTCAATGTCTATTTTAAGAGGCGGTATCACTGTTGGGGAGGTCATTTTGTTTATCGATGCCAGTTTAGCCTGGGACCAGGCTCCGCAGTGGGGAAAAAGGAGAAAAAAATCGGCGAGCGAAGCGAGCCGAGAGGCCGTCTGAGGAGAGGAAAATGTGGCGCCGGCCTTTCCCCCTCCCAGGTCAACCCTCGGCTCGCTTCCTTCGCCGATATTTTTCCTATTTGACCCCGTTTTGTTGCCTTTTTCCCCCACTGCGGAGCCTGGTCCCGGGCTAATGACAGTTACGCTATTACGCACTTTCTCGTTGTTCTTTTCACTTTTCTAAACTTTCGCTGGGCGTCTTGAGTGATCTTGACTTGCCTGTAGCTATCAGCGGTTTTTGCATCTTCTTCACCAAACAGTTTAAGACGGATACCTAATGCCCGCTGGTGAGATTGTAGAGCTGCATTGTAGTCATGCATGTTGTATTGTGTTACACCGAGTTGCCTGTAGCTGTCAGCAGTGCTTTCATGTTCCTCTCCAAATAGTTTAATACGGATAGCTAGTGCATGCTGGTGAGATTGTAGAGCTGTACTGTAGTCATCCATGTTGTTTTGTGTTACACCGAGTTGCCTGTAGCTGTCAGCAGTGCTTTCATATTCCTCTCCAAATAGTTTAATACGGATAGCTAGTGCATGCTGGTGAGATTGTAGAGCTGCGCTGTAGTCATGCATGTTGTATTGTGTTACACCGACTTCCCTGTAGCTGTCAGCAGTGCTTTCATGTTCCTCTCCAAATAGTTTAATACGGATAGCTAGTGCATGCTGGTGAGATTGTAGAGCTGCGTTATAGTCATGCATGTTGTGTTGTGTTACACCGAGTTGCCTGTAGCTGTCAGCAGTGCTTTCATGTTCCTCTCCAAATAGTTTAATACGGATAGCTAGTGCATGCTGGTGAGATTGTAGAGCTGCGTTATAGTCATGCATGTTGTGTTGTGTTACACCGAGTTCCCTGTAGCTGTCAGCAGTGCTTTCATGTTCCTCTCCAAATAGTTTAATACGGATAGCCAATGCGCGCTGGTGAGATTGTAGAGCTGCACTGTAGTCATTCATGTTGTTTTGTGTTACACCGAGTTGCCTGTAGCTGTCAGCAGAGCTTTCATATTCCTCTCCAAATAGTTTAATACGGATAGCTAGTGCATGCTGGTGAGATTGTAGAGCTGCACTGTAGTCATGCATGTTGTATTGTGTTACACCGAGTTGCCGGTAGCTGTCAGCAGTGCTTTCATGTTCCTCTCCAAATAGTTTTATACGGATAGCTAGTGCATGCTGGTGTGATTGTAGAGCTGCGCTGTAGTCATACGTGTTGTATTGTGTTACACCGACGTCCCTGTAGCTGTCAGCAGTGCTTTCATGTTCCTCTCCAAATAGTTTAATACGGATAGCTAGTGCATGCTGGAAAGATTGTAGAGCTGCACTGTAGTCATTCATGTTGTGTTGTGTTACACCGAGTGCCCTGTAGCTGTCAGCAGTGCCTTCATGTTTTTCTCCAAAGAACCTTGTTGCTATGTCAAGCGCTCGTCGGTTTGACTGTAGTGCCTCTGAGTAATTTCTTCCTTGCTCGTAAACTTTACCCAGGTCTATGTAACATTTCACAAGCCCTTCAGTTTGCATTTGACTATAACGGTTACCACCATATTCGTCATTAGTAAGGAAACTTTCTTGGCATTGCTCGAGTGTTTTTTCATGATATTTGATTCTTGACCAAAAAGAATTCACATGGCCTTCACTCTTTAATTCCCACAACAGTTTTACCACAGCTCTATGAAACATTAGCAAGCCAAGTGAAATTATAACCTCTTTTTCGACACACTTTAACATGTGAATAACCAAGTTACTTGTATATTGCTTGGTTTTAGCGTCGGAGAAAAACTTTGTAGCTTCGCTTAAGAGAAAGGCAAAATGAAATTCAAGCGGTTCATTGAGCAAGGTGTTTGACTTCTTTCCAACTTGGATTTCATTGTTAGCGCCCGTTGCTTTGCTTTTCGGTGGCGGAATTGTAAGCAGCTTCCAATCTCCCACTGCAGGACACAAATGTAGTGATTTGAAATAGAAATTACTCGCATTGTAGAAGTCATTTAAGGCCTCATAATAGCAAGCCAGGATCTGAAAAATAAGAAGCTTCAGAATTAACGACTCTGGGTCCTTGCAATTTTCCATTGATGAAAGCGCCTCTTTTAAGCACTGGACTCCGCTCTTCGATTCGTTTGCAGTAAGGTAAAAAATTCCTAAATAGCACATGCATTTGCCCTTTTCTTGGTTAGAAACATCGGACGATGCTGCTTGCTTTTCTTTTACTTCAGAGAGAAGATGATTCGTCTTACCTGCTCGTCCCCAGGTTACCTCACCAAAAGCCTTTGAAGAAAGTAGCTGTCTGTGGTATTTTTCCTTTCCATGCAGATTGGCTGATTTTATGGCAGCGTCGTATATGTGAATAAAATTTTTCCCGTCAGTCCAAAAAAGCGAGGCAAGAAACAACTCCCCTTTGACCAAAATTTGAAAAACGCTGTCAGCTGCTTTGGAATCAAAACATCCCTCTATTAGGCTTTGAACTATGCTCTCTTGATCCTCATAGAATGCAACATATGCAGCCAAGGAATGCCCAGTGAGAAATTGTTCATTTAGCTTATCAAACTGTGAGACATAGAATGCATTCAAACGACCCTTTGCGTTGAGAATCGTCTCTTTCATGTCAGTGTCTCCTTTCTCTCTCGAAAATGATTGCAAGAGTTTGTGCATCGTGAAAGTCCCGGGTTTAGTGCTTGAATCAATCAGTGACTTCCTTCGAAGACTTTGCAACATTCGTTTGGCTTCGAAAGCGGTTTTCTTACCTAAAACGGCTGCAGCGACTTCTGTACTGAAATTTTCGGGGAGAATGCTTAAAGAAATTAATGATTCTTGTTCCTGCTCATGTAGTCTCTGGAATGAGGAATCAAAGACGAACTTTAATCGATGACTGGTCGGATAATCCTGATTGTCCAACATTTGGACGATACTTTCTGAGGAAGATGTCATGAAATTATCCAGAAAATGGCGCGGTGAAGTACTGTCTTCAGATATCAAAGAACACATTAGTTTTATGGCTAAAGGAACTTGTCCGCAGAGTTGTGCGATTTTTCTGCAGTCTGGAACAGTCGCATGTGGAAGTAACTCATGAATTAGAGTTTGAGCAGAGGCTTCACCCAATTTTCCTATTCTTAAACCTCGATGGCCTTGAAAATGGACGTCCATAAACTCAAGGGACTCTCTTGTAGTTACAATGAATGTCACTCTTGGATTTTGTCTGAGAATTTCTTCAAGAAGTTGCATCACCTCTTCCTTCACTTTTGGCCGACCACTTTCTAACAAATCATCAGCATTATCTAGGATAAATGCAGACTGTTTTAATATTTCACTAAATAGTTGGCAAATGTTATCATCAAGGGATAGACGCTGATCGGACGGTTGTTTTTCTTGAATGGTTTGCTGCGTTAGAAGACTAAGAATCTTTGAAGTCAGACCCGCCTTTGACTGAAGTCCTCTCGATGAAACCCAGTACACAGGCAGGCCTTGAGTCTGAAGAGCGTGTCCCACTGCAATTGCAACCGACGTTTTTCCGAATCCAGGTGAACCCCAGATCGACACAAGTCGGGTGGATTTGGAAGTGACATGTCCGATGATCTCTTCAACTTCGCTCTGTCGCCCAGTGAAATTGGGAACTATTGAAGGAAGGTAGGCTCTTGATAGCGATGGTCTCGTACCTTTTATGATGAGAAAAGACCAAAAGTGAAAAAGAAATCAGTTGAAATCTTCAAAAATAAATATATAAATAAGTCAATTTTGACCCGTCATTCAATGTACAAATGATATTCTTGCTGTCATGCAGTGAATTTAGATCCCTAAATTTTATATTTATAACCTGATGATTTAGGAAAAGAGTTATGACGTCGAGCCAAGGCCATTCCTTCATCTGTTAATGTAAAGGATGCTTACATACATAACAAAACCTTGAGAAAGATGTTCTTCAGGCAGTGTCTGGCAGACGGCTCAACAGAAAAAATTTAAGGACTTCCCAACAGGAGTCAACGTAGTCAACAGATGCCCTACTACTGAGCTGCAGGAGACTAGTGGGTGCAAACAAAACCGTAACTGGAAAAAGGTTTACTCTCCGCGGCTAAGACTGTTACCTTTTTTAATTAACTTATCATCTGAAGGCTCTTATGAAAAAGAAAAACTCCGGCTTTGAGGTTGTTTATTGTAAATGCGCAATTGCAATTTGCTTACTATTTGTCCAAACCGTAAATTGAGCCTTCGGCTGGAACAATTTCTCAAAATCTTACCTGAATAATCTGGTAGATTATCATGTTCGTCTCTTCCTACTTTCAATTCTTCAATCTTTTTCTCCAACCTAGTAATGTCGTCTTTGCTGGCATTATCCACTTCGACTCGTTGCTTTAAACTCTCCAGTCCTTCTCTGAAGTCCTCGAGACATTTGATGTACGCCCGAGTCTCGTCTCGGATTCTTGCTTCCAATTTTCGAATTTCATTTGTGGGAAAGTCTGACTCCCGGTTTGTTTGTTCACGCAGTTAACGTGCTGTCGGGACACCAAGGGCTTGAAACGCATTTCTGGCGTAATTCACGCCCTGGTCAAACGTCGCTTTGTCCATCTCACTACTGGTGGAGTGACAAAGCGAATTTCTGAGAAGACGAAGCTGATCAATCGCAAGTGCAAAGGTCTCCGCCATGTTTCCACCCGAGCTGACCACACATGAGTGGAAACTGCCAGAAGGTACTGCACAGGGCTTCACGTACAAATCATTTAGTGTCTTGTAGGAGCCTGTACTGGCTGGTGAGACAAAGGACCGCGCAAATATAGTAGCCTGGAACAGGTTGGTGCAATCCCATTCGTTGTAAGACCGGAGAACAGGAACTTTAGTCTTCTTGCCACTTTTTGCTTCTTCAGAGTCGAACATATTTCTAACAGCAGTGGAATCATCCCAGAGCTGGAAACCAGGGCGATGTCCATAGGTGTTGTCCCACATGGTTTTAAAGGTCTGCCGTAGTGCTTTGGGGAATTCATTTAACACCAAGGACGAGAACTTAAAGAAATTTAATTGTTCGTCACTAAACGGTTGCAATGCTGTCATCTCCACTTAGTAAACGCAATAGGTGAAGGAACTAAAGTTGATTAAAGAAAGAAATTATAAACAATTAACCCCAGAATTGCGTTTTTGTTCAGTGTATTTCGCGATCGCGTGCTTTTCGGCGACCCCATACGAGTTGGGACGGCACAATCAGATAACCTTACCATTTTCCTGCTATCAGAGGGAAAAATTGTCTACGAGAAATGCTTCAAGAGTAACTGACAGACAATCAGAAAGCCGGTGTGGAAATCAAATTAACTTACTCTTAGTGGGGGCCTGGTGGGGTACTTTATACTTAGGAAGTCTTGGGCAATGATTTGTCGCTGGTCCCCTGGAAACCTTAGCCTATACTAGACTAGCCTCCGACACAGACGTTCTTAGGGGTTCGTCACGCGTTCCTGACCCACGAACGTTCGTGAGGCAGGAACACGTGACGAACCCCCTAAGAACGTCTGCGTCTGGGAGGCTAATACTAGACCTGCTATCCTATTTCACTATATTTCCCATCTATCGACGCTATCTGACTCGCGGCTAAATTTAAATTTGCCAATCTTATTTTTAAGTTAATTGTCAATTCCCGGTTCCCCTAGTGTAAACTAAAATCTCCCTTTAGCATTAGTAGCTGGCGGAATCGTCTTGTCAGCGCGCATTGAGGAAGGGAGTTGCGCGCGAGAGAGAATGGCGGCTTCGCTGCCAAAACCTGACTCGTATGTTTATCCTCAATCAATGGATCAGCTTTATCGAAAATGATACCATATTCTAGACACACACTTTCTGATTTCTACAGTCTACTTTCTACAGCAAATCCCCAAGAAATCAGAGGATCAAAGGCGCGCGGGGCACGATGGTAAGGGGAAGAGAGAAGAGAGGCCTCTGCCAAATAATGTGCGGTTCTCTGGCAATGGCGAAAGCAGGCGAAGATTTAACGGATTTTGAGTGTTCTTTTAAAGATCTGAGTCTAGAAGGTTAGTAGACGCAGTTTGATGCAGATTGGTCACTGATTTAGATATCTTTTCGTTGTTTGCTGTTTTCGACTGTTGTCTGCCATCTTGGATTTTTGCTCATTTTGATTGCCGTTCTCTCATCTCTTACTTACGTCTTATTGTTCCCTCTCTACATACTCAATTGACAGATGAGGTCGATTTCCACCCAATTACTAGTACGCCTGTTAAAAGGGGAGCCAGTGAGCCTGCGGGGAAGCATTCACTTACCCCAAGTTCTAAGTCTGCAGTTGAGCCGAGGAGCAAGAGGCATCAAAGCTCAGTCGAAGAAGATGAAGAAGATGAATTGGGAAGTGCAGGTAATTTCGAATTAATTTTTTTCTCTCCCGCCGTTTCCCTCTTCCCATCGTCCCTCGAGCGCTTTCTACTTTTTCCATTATTTTATTTTGATGGGGATACCCAGCGGGAGCCTCTGCGGAGGAGAGAGGACCATGGCCAAAGTGCGAGACTCTCCTTGGATACTAAGGTTGCGCAAGCTTGTTAAACGAGTAATCAAGCAATGTTACGGATGCAAACGGTTTCAGATCACTACGTTCGCCAATCCGTCTCAAGGAAATTTACCTCGTGACCGCACTGAAGGAAATTCACCCTTTCAAGTTGTTGGTGTTGACTACGCCGGTCCCATCAAGTACCACACAGGCAAAAACAGAGAAGGGAAAGCCTATCTGCTATATTGTCCTGTACGCCTGTGGCTTGACACGAGCACCTTACCTAGAACTTACCAAAACCTTGAAGACTAACGAGCTCATCAGCACCCCTAAGCGCCTGATCGCCAGAAAGGGCCGTGATGAAAGATGAACACCTGCATAACTTCCTGGCCAAAGTAGACGTCAAGTGGCAGTTCATCCTGTCCAGAGCACCCTGGTGGGGAGGTCAATTTGAGAGGATAGTCTGCTCTTGTTAAACAAGCCTTTAACAAGACAATGGGAAACTGTATGCTTTACCTGCAGCGAGCTACAGGATGTCCTTCTGGACGTTGAAGTTACCATGAATAACCGCCCGCTGAGCTACGTAGAAGAGGATATTCAATCACCCATACTGACCCCCAGCCTGTTGCAGTTTGGCCACCCGAATCTATTGCCTGAAACACAGAGCCATCAGTTGGAGAACCAAGACCTGAGAAGGCGTGCATGGTACCTGAAGAAATGTAAAGACGTACTATGGGGGAGGTGGTCTTCAGAATACCTAAGAAGCTTACGTGAGCAGCACAATTTAAAACACAATGGAAGTAAGGTGGCCCCAGCTAAGGGAGATGTTGTCATCATTAAAGGCGAAGAAAAGAATCGTAGATTGTGGAAGCTAGGAATAGTCAAAGAGCTGATTACTGGACGAGACAGAGTTGTCAGAGGGGCTAAACTGCGAGCGGGAAGATCTTATTTGGAGAGACATGTCCAACACCTTTATCCAATGGAGCTGTCCTGTGACAGGACAACAGCTACGCCGAGAGCCACCCTCAGCGCTGAAGCACCTATCCGGGCCGTCAAGAGACGCTGCTGTGGCAACACGTGCCATGACTACTGATCTTTGAACATTTCTATTAGAGATATTGCAACTATGATTGGAATAATCAAATTATTCATCACTATTTGCGATGAACAGGGGGAGAGTGTTATGAAGCAAGAGTGTAGCGTGATTGTGAGATGGCGTGATTTTATTCCTTTTAAATTTTGTTAGTTTCACTCGTCTGTCAGAGCGACAGAGAACTTGCTGACAGATCGGATTAAAAACTAAAGCTTATAAATTCACAAAAGTCACGATTTTGAGTAGTGTGTGAGCGAGCCATTGTACTGTGAGGATTGAAGCTTTGAAATAAACCCTGTTTTGCTTTAAACTGTGATATCGTGAAGAACGGCCGTACGGCATTCACGACAGTCTGCAACAAGAAACTTAATTTTTGGCTGTCGTTGTTTTGCAGCCGGGGGAGGGACGTTGTTGCCAAGGATACCATATGAAGAGGGATTTCATCGTTTACGTTTAAGCCAATTGATCGGATCGGTCCAAAAGGTGCGCATGTTTACCAAAATCCTTTCATCACTGTCTCTGTTTAAGGTACTGATAAAACTTTTCGCTCTTTAGATAACTGACTTTTACAAACATGCGTAGAAAGCGCGAACTTGGTCGCCATGAGAAAAGTTCCAACTTGTTGAAATTCTCTCCCTTCGTGTGAAAATTATTTCCGATTGCTTCCAAGAAAGGAATATGTTATTTGTAGATCGCTCCGTCAAATAGAAATTAATCTGCCTCGCAAGTTTTAAAAAACAAAAATTACTTACCAGAATTGACCCTATCACACTTTATACCGCGTAGAACGACGATTATTTTTGGAATTTCCTGTTATGGATCAAATAACTGTCATGCTATATTTTGTGGGGCAAAGGGACTGGGGGAGGGGGCGAGTTGTGGAAATGTCCCAGTTAAAATATAGCCATCGTTTCTTGTTTCTTAAGGGAAACTATATATATCTCTCTATCCTATTCCACGGGTTAGGAGTAGCTTTACTTTCAAGCCCGAAAAAAGTGTAATTATAATCTATATAAATACCTCACAAACTATTTATAAACAGTATAAACCACTGAAGTCCTAGTTTTAAGAAACAGAAAATTACTGTTCAGACCCAGTCGTTTCCTGTTTCAAAAGGCTAATGAAATTACTTTACAGCCCCGGCTTAAAAACGCACAGTCGGCAGACCGATGAACCCCGATTATGGGGGTCTTGTTTTGAAATTGATTGTAAATCACGATGTCTACAATAGTTCCCAAGTTAGTGAGAACGAGGTATCTAATACCGGGGCCTGTGTAAACAAGGTATCTAAAATAACGGCCTTATGCTCACGAAGTTTGGGCGACCAAAATTCAACAACGTTCCATCAAACCTCTACGGAGGGGAAAGTAGGAGAGAATCAGGGCGATAACCAAGAGATGAATCACAATGGTTGCAACTGTCGACGTTTAACGTTTGTATCAGATTTTGATTGAAAGCCTAACCGTGTAAACGACAATGAAAGAGTCATTGTCTTTCGAGTTCAAGGTCCACCTGAAAACAAAGCGAGGTTGTCGCGAATCAAACCAAGCTCCTTATCATAATAAACTTAATAACCATCCCTGAACTATAAAAACACGATAAACTTGCGCACTCACCTAATTAACAACTGAATAAGATCTTTTCACATCAAATTTGCTGTTACAAAAGTAATTTGCAGTGGATCTTCACTGTCGAATCGAGCTGTCGCGATACCGTTGGGCAAAATTGAAGAGGCGCTAACGTTGTTGAAGTTTGACACCACAAATAATGTTCCCATAACACAGAATGGTGAATTTCCTCTGATTTAGGTGCTTCAGGTTCCTGCAACAGAAATTATTAGTATTTTTTGCTTTTTGGCTCTCTGATAATTGGCTTCTTTAACCCTACACTCTGCTTCCGCCGCTGGTCGGAGTGGTCCGTCGAATGCGCTTTTCTAGATTGCTCACAGAAATAAAAAATGAATTTTGTAAGGAAAATAGAAAATAACTTTACCTCGAAGATCAGTCTAAGGCAGGTTAGACGTTCAATACGTCATTGAACTGTCCAAAGAAACATGCAGCTTGGTCCAAACGACGATGGCAGTGCATAAGGTATGCTTTAAACTTTCAAGACAAATATTTCAAAAGAGTGTGCGTGACCTTTAATATCACGGCCAGGGGAGGGAGCTTAAATAAACAAAGATGTTTTTGAGCGACGCACGCCAACCGGATTGAGGTTTGTTCCCTTTTGCCTTGACACTATCAAATTTGTATTGCCTGATGTCTTAACTCTTATTGAGATGATTTGCCAGAAAAGTTGGGCAAAACCACTGCTCAAGAATCCACTACAAGTTGTCTTCCGTCTGAGCTCAAAAACGACACTTCTGGATTTAGGCTTAATTCAGTTAATTACTTCTAAACACGCCCCTGGTTTCGATTTCAGTTTCAGTTATCGCAAATGGGACACTAGAGACAAAAGATAAAGGAGTGCTTATTTTATTTTTATTTTTTGTTCTTTCGAATTTCAACCCAAAATAACATATATATTGTAGTAGTGGCAAATGAACGAAAACTTGAACATTAAACAGGAAAACGGAAGCGTAACCTTCACCTCGCGTGTGGTTTTTGTCCATTTGAATTTCAATCACTAATTCAGACTGCCCAACCATCCCGATCTCGCCAGGATTCTCCCGATTTTGCTTGAAAATTCCGAATCCCGACCAATATGCGATCGGAATAGGAAAAATCCCGATTGTGACATCTGTTTTGATAAATACCAGGAGCCCATCATGGGCTCCTGTAAGGGACGGACCATTAGAAAACTTATGGGGGCGGCGGCGAAGTACAAAAAAAAAAATTCGCGCAAGGGAAAATTTAATTTAAAAAAATTTTTGCACGCCAATTAACCCTAAGAAATATTCATGCAAGGGCCTGAAAAAATTCATACAAGGAATTTGATATTGAAAAAAAATTCCTGCGGCTCGAAAATTCCCCTCCCCCTCCCCTTAACTTTTCTAATGGTTTATCCCAAGATACACAAGAACACCTAAACGAGTGCGCCAAGAGACTATAAAGGGGACAGAGAGGGCATCCCCCATATACGCCCTATTCGACAGGTAATTCGTCTCGGGTTATTTTTAACACCACAGATCTCAAGGGGGATTAGACAACAGCCAATCAGATAGCGCGAATGTGTTCCGCGTGGATGACCCACGCTGAGAGCCACTCGTCCTTCACGAAATGACGCAGAACAAAATGGGGGAGGACGCGGAGAGCGATTTTGCTATTCCTTTTGTCGACGAAAACGACTACAGCGAGATTTCTGCGAAAGCTGTGTCAGCGAAACCGAAATTAAAAAAGAATCGCCCTTCCTCTCTTGTATAGAGCTAACAGTAGAGCAGGGAAATCCTTAACACACTGAATATTCTCTCAGGATCATTTATAATT